AAAATAAGGTTAAATTATAAAGCATGTTAAGTACAATTAATGGTATTATATTTTATTATAGAAAAATTCTGAATCAATGTTAAGTGTTTATAGGAGACATCCTAGCCCAGTACTAGCAGTTTATGAGTGGTACATACATCTTACCTCCCATTGTTTGGCTATACTGTTTTATATCAGGAATCAGACTGAAGCCCTGCATGACTCAAATGGACATATCAGCTAGCAGAGTTGGACTAATATTGCTCCTTGGCTAATGGCTGATACCAAGACCTAAATTCTGGTCTGTGAAGTTTCAGGGCTCTGCTGAATTATATGCATCTGAGGTCAGCATGACCTCAAATTAAAATCATTTTCCCTGAATTATTCCTTCTCACTGACTTTGTGAGTCACTTGATAATTGTGCCTGGTGCCAGTACTGGTCTATTTCTAGCCAAACAAGATTAGCAGTGCTGACTCCCTGAAAGCCCTGCCTGGTGCCATCATGCCAGGTGTTTGGCAGGATTTCACTAGATCCCTTCAAAGCTCCCTACCTCCCTATTACTTCCCACAATTGTATTCAATAAATACTGGGTGGGCTTAGGGGCCTTTGTCCTTGCTGCCGTGAGCAACACCAACCAGGAACCAAGAATCAGCTTCTTCACCCTAAGTCTCATTTGTGTCTGTTCTTGAATTCACTTTGTGCAGTGGTGACTCACAGGCCAGAGCCCAAGGTAGAGGTCCTAGTAATGTCCCCTTCCCAGATCCCTACATGTGTTCTGTGTACAAAAATGATAATGATATGCAGTAATAGAAATAATTTTCTAGACTTCGTGATTTCACAATATTACATTCCTGATGTCTATGCTGTAAGAGAAATGCATGTCATTTTATTTGTCTATGTAAAAGATAAAATGAAATATAAAAATGTGAAGAAAAAATTAACAAGGTCTTCTAATACTTTGTATCATTGTGAACAACTCATAAAATGTCCAAAGTTTGTTCTCAGTAGGTATACTAAGGCAAGAGTTTTCTAGAAATGTTTTCATGAAGAAGTTAGGTATTGCTTAATGCAAAACTTGTGAATTTAAAATCTGTTAAAGATACAATGAGTTTCTCCTGGAGGAAATAAAATTATCTCATTACCTGCTATCTCAATACGCACGACATGGAACAAAAATTTTCCACTTGCTTTTCTTCTTTCATATCCAAGGGAGCTGATTTCTTTGGGGAATGAAGAAAATCATACAACAATTTATTTAATTAGGAGCTTTGAGACTCAAATCTTTAGAATGCAGAAAGTATAAACACAGCTGCAGCCACTCACCTTTATCTCTGGGGTCACCTTCTGTGAAAAGGTAAGTGGGTTTCCGAGGGATAGATCTTGTAGAATGGAAAGCTGTAGTGACAGCCACAGAAAGGTGGATGTGTCCTAGGAAAAGCAGGAGGACAAAGGAGAGGGAAAGTCAAAGTGGGTTCTGGGCTCCTCTCTAAAATAATGATTATGTGAAATCTCCACATTTAGTCTAGGGAGGTGATATAGATATAGATATAGATATAGATATAGATATAGATATAGATATAGATATAGATATAGATATCTCAACATTTGAAACAACATTTGTTTCCGTTGAGACCTGCCTCTACTTGCCTCTACTTCCCTTCCTCTTCCCTGGCTCTAGAAACAAGAACATCTGCTGAATATGAGTTGCTTTTCTCAAGAATCTCCAACACTTCACCACTTTTTCTCATAAGTTATAGTCTCTGATCAGATTACTTTTCCTTGTATCTTGAAATTTTTATTTTTATCAGCACATGTTTGCAATACATAATGTTTACAGTCACCACTGTGATTTTGTACAAGTACATAACCCATTCTACTTCCTTTTTTCCTCTTCTACTCTTCTTTTTCCTTCTCTCTAATCCTTGATCAATTTCAATCAATTTTACAAAAACTCTCCTTGCTTCTTATGATCTATTTCTACTTCTTTAATTTGTGTATACACTGAGTCTCTGATATAGGAGAAATCATGTGATATTTAAACCTGTGAGTGTGACTTATTTCACCTAACATTATGTTCTCAAAGTGAGTCCATTTTTTTGTTTTTGTTTTTTGTTTTTGTTTTGTTTTGTTTTGTTTTTTGAGACAGGGTCTCACTATGTAGTTGAGACTGAACTGGAACTCACTATGCAGCCCACGCTGGTCTCGAACTCACAGCAATCCTACTGCCTCAGCCTCCTGAGTGCTGGGATAACAGGCATGCACCACCATGCCTGGCTTAAGGTGCATCCATTTGTAAAAATTCAGATATTAAGTGCATGCTGAAAATCTATTACATATGAGGTATAATCTACCTTATTTCAGTTTTGGTAGTTTTTGTTTATTATATTCATCACATATTTTTCACAGCTAGATTGCCATTTCTGGTAGACCTTATTTTTCCATATTATTGTAGTTGTGACATAATCTTTATGTCCACAATAGAATCTACCAAAAATGTTTAATTTCTGATGTTTTATAAACAATTAAATTAATTTTTACCGTGTTACCAATTGTTGTACATGTTTAGAAAATATTGAATGACTCAGGCTGGAGAGACTGTCTTTCATTTTCATGAATTAAACACAAATATTCTACTCTTTTACTGTGACATATTCTGTTGTTGAATATAGCATTCTATGAGTTAGAAAAATATAATTGCTTTCATTCTTTACTTATACTCCTCACACAGACGCTAACCCGGTAAATACATGTTAAATTTTCTCTAATTATATATTTCTATGATGACTATTTTAGGGTCCATATTCACTGGTCTATTTTTGTGGTGAATTATGATAATCAACATCTTATTTTGTGCTTTCTTACCATTGATATTTCTCATAATCATATTGTTCTCTTAAAAATATATCTATGGCTTTAGTCAACTTTACTACTTAGTTTTGTGTCTGTACTGTCTTGGGATAGGCTGGAAAGTTTCATTTTTAAAATGATAGCTGACACTTTGATCCTGATGTTTAATAGACATCAAGCTTGCTCAGAGCCTACATTGTTACAGGCGCCATGCAAACCTCTCACAAGACAGATGTTGAGCAGCAGCTGTGACAACCACAAGGTTGGTGTGTGACAGGGGAGCCATGCACTCTGTCCTTTCAATCTGAAGCATTTCTTCCTTCCTCATCTCTTATGATTGACAGCCCAACTCTTCCTGTTCTAGAGAAGGTTCATCTACTCACTTTCTCAGATTAATCTGCTCCACAATATTGTTTTGTTTTATTAATTAAAATCATTTGGGCTAGGGATTTTGCTCAGTGGTTCCCCTGCCAAGCATATGCAAGGTCCTGAGTTCAATCCCCCAACCTCCCAAAAACATTTTCAAAGACAAATCGCTAGACATTCCTTCTAATGGTGCTTTTCTTTTTTTTCTATGTGGTTTTTTTTTGTTTGTTTGTTTGTTTTTGGTACTGGGGATTGAACTTGGGTCCTTGCACTTGCAAGGCAGGCCACAGAACTGCTGAGCTAAATCCCCAGCCCCTCTTTTCTTTTTTTTTTTTTAGTTTATTGGTAAATTTGCCACGAAGAATATGACAATGTTCAAAATATGCATTTTTACTTTTAAAGTGTATACAGTAATTCTATCTGTATAACTTTTGAATATTTTAATTTTAATCAATGCATATTATGGCCATTAACTTTACTAATTTTAAGGAGTACAATTCCTAGGCTGGAAAATAGAATTTGAGATCACATATAACTATTATTCAATTTTAAGGGAGGTTGCTTTCTTTTCCTCCTCTTCTCTCTGTACTGTACATGTTTTGTTCCTTACTGATAACTCTCCTGGTAGGCATTCTAGGAGAGAATAATCCATACACATATTCATATTTTAAAAGTGATGTATGGTAGGTCAAAAGTGTTAACAACAGCCAGGGATTTGTCTCAGTTGTTCTACCACCTGCCTCAAAAGTGCAAGGGTATTAGTTGGATTCCCAGTACCAAAAAAAAAAAAAAAAAAAAAGGTAACAAACCATTTGTACTTATAATCATATGAATTCCCTCCCATGGTGACTGTCACAGTTTAATGAGATATTGCTAAATGAGATATATCTGAGGCATTAAGAACAAAATTCTTATTTATAAAATGCTCATTGTAAGACAGGAAAGAGTGGGGAAAAACATAATTTTATTTAATTTTGACTTAATCCCACCATGTAGTGAACATATATTGTTCTTATTGTAGAAATATGTGATATGTAATGATTAGAGTTTAAATTATTTTTTCAAGGTAACAAGGATTTTATGTTGGATGACCAAGATTTTATTAAAGAAAGTCTGGTTGAAGAACCCAGTTTTAAAATCACACCTCTTTTAAATAGTATGATAGAATTATATATCCAATATAATATAATAAAAGAGGAAAATAAGAATAAGAAGAGTCATAATGATTGCTGTCATTTACTGGGATTCCCTCTGAGAATGATAGCATGCACTTAACTTTTACAGTATAACAGTAGGATTCACATTTTTAGAAAAAATATAGTACCAAACAACACAGTGAATTACTAAATCATAAACTAAAAGTTTGTGTTAGAATCACTGTTTAATCACTACTGAGAAGGTAGTACAATAAAGTGCAGAGACTGTACAAGAAATACATAAAAATTTAAATCATGTTATAAAACTCATAGCTAACAAAAATTTAACTCATTTTATAAAACTCATATCTAACAATAATTTACCATTACCATAAATTAAAATTTGAAAATTAAAACAAGTGATCCAATGATAAAGAGAAAGAAGAAATGCCTCATACGTTAAAGGTAGTGTGAATTGGTGTGAAATGTTGCACAAATTTAAAAGGGAAATGAGCTACAATTTGCTGAAGGAACTACTCTCATCGACTGACACAACAATGAGTGAATGACATCCATGGAGAGATGAGATTATGGAGTGACAGCCAGGAAGATCAGTGGCTGCTCATTGAACACTGCTGTTTCAACCTTCTCCTGAATGATAAATCAGTGACATGCAAAAGGCAAACCACACAGGACTATCACACTTCCTCCTGTTGGGCCTCTCAGAGGATCCAGAAATTCAGTCCACTCTCTTTGGGTCTTTCCTGTCTATATACCTGGTCACAGTGCTTGGAAACCTGCTCATCATCTTGGTTATTACCTGTGACTCCCACCTCCACACCCCCATGTACTTCTTCCTCTGTAACCTCTCCTTTGTGGACATTGGCTTCATTTCCACCACAGTCCCAAAGATGCTGGTGAACATTCAGACACAGAGCAAAGACATCTCCTACATGGAATGCATCACTCAGGCATTCTCTTTTATGACATTTCTCGGAGTGGATGACTTCCTATTGACTGTGATGGCCTATGACCGCTTTGTGGCCATCTGTCACCCCCTAAGATACACACTCATCATGAACCCTCGGCTCTGTGGCTCTCTGGTTCTTATGTCCTGGTTCATCATCTTATGGGTAGATCTGACTCATATTCTCCTGCTGATGCGGCTCACCTTCTCTACAGGCACTGAAATCCCTCATTTCTTTTGTGAACTTCCTCAGGTTCTCAAAGTGGCCAGATCTGATACTCTAACGAATAACATCTTTCTTAATGTGTTAACTGTCCTATTGGGTTTGTTTCCTGTCTCTGGAATCATCTTCTCTTATTTTCAGATTATCTCTTCTTTAATGAAGATGTCCTCCACTGCAAGCAGATATAAAGCATTTTCCACCTGTGGATCTCACCTCTGTGTGGTCTCACTGTTCTATGGAACAGCACTTGGGGTGTACCTCAGTTCAGCTGTGACCCATTCTTCCCACAAAAGCTCTGTTGCCTCTGTGATATATGCTGTGGTGACGCCCTTGCTTAACCCTTTCATCTACAGCCTGAGGAACAAGGATATGATGGGGGCCTTGGGAAGACTCCTCAGGAGAGCAGTCTCTTATCTTCCATGGACTAGTGTCTTCAGAAGTACAGGAATATTACTGTGCCTAAGGAAAATATTGTAAATTATATCCTGGCCTGGCTCATTTTTCTCCAATAAATGACATTTTTTTATTTTACCAAAATAAAATGTTTGTCCTGAATAATTTATATTGTTTCTCCTCAACTGCTCCACTACCATATTACTTTATATTTGTCTCTCTACGCATGATGCAAAATGTTTCAAATTTAGTAATATTTCTTTGCAATTTCTGAGTTTTTATTTAACATGATGGAAAATGTATAACAAGTGCAGTTATGGTTTTCTCTAAAATAATTGCTTGGATATTAATGTTCTTCACTATAACATGGTTATAATTTTGTTTGTAACTGATGAATGGAAATAAAGATAGAGTACCTATCAAATCAGGATTGTGCTTGTAATTTTAGACTTATGAATTTAAATCTGAAAACATTGTTTGAGATATTTTATCTCATTTACATAATATCTCAAGGGAACAGACTAACTTTGGAATGTGCTATTGATGGAACCTAATATTGAGTTTACATCCATATATTTGCAATTTTTCTTTATAAAAACAGTAATTATATTTCCGATATTAAAATTGAAACCTATCTCTGAAGATGGATTTCATTGTGATATAATGCACGGAGTAATTCTGAGCTGCTGCTGTGATTATGAGGAGTCTTCTCATTTTCCTTCTTCCTTTCTTCCTCTTTTTTACTCATCTTTTCTTTTTCCCTGATTTTTCTGTCTTCTCTGAATTCATTTTCTCTCACTTTGTCCCTCATTTTCTCATTGCCTTCCTCATTTGGATGTGTCTATTTGGTATTGCTAACTTTCTCCATTTCATTTACAAGGTTAAATAATATCCTGCTGTGTGTACAAACTTTGCCTTTATTAATAGATGAACATTTTGGTGTTATGACTTTTAGCTATTACAAATACTGCTAAGATGATTATGCATGCAGACTTATTTCTTCCTGTACAGTCATATGCCACAGAATGAAGCTTTAGTCAATGACAAACTGTATGTTCTCAAGTAGCCCCATAACATCACATTACTTAGTGAAGCCATAGTCTTTTCTTGTGGGTGCACAGTGGACATCAAGGATCACCAGCAAAGTTTTGTTCAGTGCCTAACATGATTGTTAGGCAGCACATGAATATTCTGGTTTTCAATTACTAAGCTGTCTCAGAGTCAAACTATCTGCCAGGGTATAAGTTTCTCTTATTTGATTTGAGGCAGTATCTCATTAGGACTGATTTGGATTTCCTCAGGAATAATTAGGTATCTACTCCAGTGCTTCTTGCAGTTTCTCTATCTTCTATGTAGAAATGTCTTTGCAAGTCTTACTCACATTGCAACAATACAGTGTAATTTTGCTTTGGACCTCTATTGTTTTTTCATATATTTTGAGCACTTGAATCTTATCAGAAATATATTTTACAAACACATCTTTCTTTTGTTTTTCTCTTCATATGAATTATAAAATTTATTATCATTAACTTTATTCATCATGATGTACAATAAATCTCTTTAAATTGTTGCTCCCATCAACAATTTTGTTTCTTTTCACAAATGTGTTCCTAAGCCCCTGATCCATGTCCTCCTAAAGACACCATTATAATTTCCAATTTCATGGTTTTAGATATTTTATATTTCACATGTGAATTCTTGCAATAGTAGTCTTTCTCAGCCTGGCTTATTTCTCTTAACAGAATGTGATACAGACTCATTTATGTTGTTTCAAATGACAGGATTTATTTCTTTTTATGCCTTATTATGAATTGTGCTGATATAAATATGTGTAAATACACATCACTGTAATGTGATGTCTTTAGCATCTAATTAGAACCCCAAAGAGCCATGACAGAAAAATATCCACACTGGGGCAAATAGCAAGCCAGATTCTAGAAATTCAACACAAGAATGTAATATTAAAAACTGTTTAAGAAAATAAATAAATCATCTATAAAGGAAAACTCATCAGAATCACAACAGACTTCTAAATGCAAACACTTAAGTCAAATAAATCATATACTAAATACTTAAAACCACACAGAAAAGACAAAAAACAAAACCTCTGAGTGATTTTGTATCCTCCAAAATCATTTTTCAAAATTGATGGAGAAATAAGTTATTTCTATGATAAAGAACACCCAAAGAAATTCTTGACCACCAAATCAGTACTCCAAAAACTTCTGAAGAATATTCTAGAAAGAGAAAATGGAAACACTGATGCCACTAATCCAAATAGAATGAATCCACCAGGAAAGGCAAACAATTAAATAGAAGAACAAAATGAAAAGCACAATAATACAATGATAGGTATACATTAATACCTATCTGTCATAACTATCAATGTAAATAGATTCAATTCACCAATCAAAAGAAACGGATTGGCAGAATGGATCTGAAAACAAGATCCAACAATATGCTGCATACAAGTCATAAACTGAAGTTTAAGGGATAGAAAATATACTCCATGCAACAGAAAATTAAAAGAGAAGCATGGGTAGCTACTCTATTTTCAAGTAAAGTGGATTTCAAGCCATGACTTAGCAGAAGAGACAAAGAAGGTCACTACATACTCGTTAAGGTAGCAATCTAAGAGGAAGTGATAACAATCATAAATATATATGCACCAAGCACTGAGGTCCCAACCATATAAAACAAACAATAATAGTTATTAAAAACTAAATAAACTGTAGCACAGTTGTAATGGAGGTTCTCAACACCTCATTGTCATAAATAGACTGATAATCTAGAAAAAAAAGATAAACAAGAAAATGTGAAAGGTGTATCAAACCTTTAAACAAATGAACTGAGCACATTCTAGGTAGTGGATAGACTTAATAGATGTCTATAGAGTTTTCCAACTCAGAAAATCAGAATATACATTTTTTTGGCTGCACATGGGTCATTCTCCAAAATAGACTGTATACTGGTTCATAGAACATGTTTAAGTAAGTGCAGAGGAATTTAAGTTATACCCTGTATATTATCATACCTTAGTGTAATAAAACTGTAGGTCAATAGCATAAAAAACAGCAAAAATTTCACAAGCACATGGAATTTGAATAACACTCTCCTGAACAACCAGTGTGTCACAGAAGAAATTAAAGAATAAATTAGACAGTTTTTACAATTTAATGATAATGCCAGTACAACATAGAATAATTTATGTAACAAATGAAAATAATTCTATGAAGGAAATTCATTGTGAATGCCCACACTAGGAAAACAGGGCAAGATCAAATTACCAACCAAATGGTGAATCTTATTCTTCTAGAACAAGATGAGCAAAAGAAACCTGAAGCTCATAAAAGGGAGGAAAAAATAAATATCAGGGCAGACATTAATACAATGGAGAGAAACAGAATGATACCAAAAAAATCAATAAATTCAAGAGCTGATTTTTCCAAAGAATAAATAAAATTGACATCTCCTAAGTCAGCCTTATCAAAAAGGGAAAGAAATGGCTCAAATACATGAAAATAGAAATTAAAATGGTGAAGTCATCCCAGATCCAGCAGAAATCCAGGGGATCATCAGTACCTACTTTGAGAACTTGTACTCTAATAAAATGGAAAACACAGAAAAAATGGGCAGATTTCTAGATACTTATGAATTACCAAATTTGAACGAAGAAGATAAAAAAATTCTAAACACCCCAATTACAATTAGTGAAATTAAATAGGTGATTGAAAGTCTACCAAGGAAGAAATGCCCAGGTCCTGACGGATGCATTGCTGAATTTTACAAGACATTTAAAGAGATATATTGCCACTACTCTTTAAAATTTTCAGTGATATTGAAAGGGAAGCATACTTCCAAATTCATTCCTGGAAGCAAATGTTACTTTGATTCCCAAACCAGGGAAAGACCCAATCAAAAAATAGAACTAGAGGCCAATCTCCTTGATGAACATAGATGCAAAATCCTCAATAAGGTATTGCCAAACTGAATAGAACAGGAATGAATTTGGAAGTATTGCTTCCCTTTCAATTTCATTGAAAAATTTAAAAAGTAGTGACAGTAGTACTTCTCTAAGTGTCTTGTAAAATTCAGCAATGAATCCATCAGGGCCTGAGCTTTTCTTCATTTGTAGGGTCATGAAGAATATCATATACACTCACCAAAGTTGGATTATCCCAGGTATTCAAGGATGGCTCAACATGTGTAAATCAACAAATGTAATACACTATATTAATAGAGTGAAGGACAAAAACCATATGATCATCTCAATAGATGCAGGAAAAATCATTCAACAAAATTCAACACCCATTAATGATAAAAAACCTGCAGAAAATTGTAATATATGGTCTTTATCCTAACTTGACATCAACAAGGCTATCTATTAAAAAAGAACAGCCAACATCATACTATATGGTCAAAATTGAAAGTCTTCAAACTAAAATCAGGAAAATAAAAGGATTTGCACTATTACCACTCCTGTTCAATATAATTTTGGAAACATTAGCCACAGCAATTAAACAAGAGAAAGAAATAAAAGTGATAAAGATAGGAAAGGAAGAAATTAAACTGTCATTATTTGCTAATGATATAATACTTGACATAAAATATTTAAAAACTCTACCAAAAGACTTCTAGACTTAATTCACAGATTCAATAGAGTATCTGGACACAAGGTAAACACTCAAAAATCAGTAGCTTTCTTGTACACAAATAACAGAATCACTGAGAGTGAAATTAGCAAAACAATCACCTGACAATAGTATCCAAAAAAGTGTAATATCCAGGAACCAATGTAACAAAGGAAAGAAAAGACCTCTACTTGATAACTACAACACTCTGAAAAAGAGATTGAAGAAGATGTAGGAAAATGCAAAAAAACACCCTTTGTTCCTGGATAGGAAGAACCAATATAGTGAAAATGGCCATACTTCCAAAACTGCTAAACAAATTCAATACAATCCCTATTTTAGTCTCAACAGTATATTTCATGGAACTAGAGAAATTCATCTGGAACCAGAATAAAACAAAAGCAATTCTGGGGAATTGAAATATAGCAGGGAATATTACATTCCCAAACTTGA